ATTCAAATATGATAAACGGGATCTCATATGAGTATAACAGACAGTATTGTCACTGGAGCATGTTGGTGTTGACTTTTTTTTTCTTCACTCAAAATATTTTCAAATTATTTTAAACTTAAAACTAATTTTTGTCGTATTGGAAATATTAAAATTAAAATCGTTTCAATAAGTATGCTTTCTGATATTTGAATTTATATTTTTTTTCTTATGAAATAAAATTACTTATCATCTTAACTGATAACTTATTTGGTTAGTGTGTGTATATATATATATTTTAATTAAAGACTGAGTTCCCTACAAAAGCACTAGTGCGAAGAAGCCCTAATCTCTCGGTTAGCATATTCTACTTGGGATCCGATTGTGATTTTATTAATAAACTTTTTTTTTAAAAAAAATGTTTTGGGAAGAGAGAGAAACCTCGGAGGACACGGTTCATTAAGAGGTTCACGCCTTCCCGCCTGCCATGGCTACACCTGCACCACCAACCCTCCCCACTTACCCATCCCACCGGGTGACAGCTGGCGCAGCCACACACGCTTCTTTGATTCTAGTGGCTTCCCTCTTCCACGTAATCCCCCCTCTTTTTGTCTTTTTCTTTACTTTTATTTTTCTCTTCTGAAAATACCAAATTTCTACCTGCTCTCCCTCATTTACCAGAATACCCTCAACCTTTTTCTGAAAAGACTTGCCAACGCCGGCGTCCTCCCTTCTGACTCCCTGAGTTTGACCTCTCAACTCTATGAATCAATGATATGTTCATGTCGTTCACCTAAATTCACAATACTAAGAATTTCTTATTATTCCACCCATCTGTCGCTGGAAATATTTAATTTTAAAATGACACCAAAAAAAATAAAAACATAAAAACAAAAGTAAACTAAATACACAGGATTTTGTACAAGAAATAAGTGCAGAATATACTTAAATCTCTGTAAACACGGATAAGATATTACAAAATGAAGCTTTCAAGAAAAAAGAAAAATTTTAAAGAGAATTCATGGCTCCTCTTTATCATCATATTATATATAGGCTGAAGATCACTTTCTTGATCTCTATTTTTCAAATTCTACTGAAACCATGGCGTCTCATTGTTTGAACAGAGTTATATTAATTAATTAATAATAACTGCTCTGAACAATGCATGATTGGGTATATTCTGATTCCAGATTGTCACACGCTTGTGGAAAGGTCCGTGGAAGTTGGAGGTCAGTCACAGAAATTTTATAACTAAAAATCACATGAAATTTTTTTATTAGTTTAAATATTTTAAACATATAATAATTAATATTAAATTATAAAATTTGGTGATTGAAGCAACTTCGCAGAAAATAACAAAAAGCAAAAGCAAAGCGAAACCAACGGTGAGAAATAGCTAGGTACATAGTGTCATGAGGAAGGCGTCATGGGATATTATTGTTTATGTTTGGTTTTGTCGCCACTTATATTAAAGCATATCATTTCATATGATGATGATTACTTTTTTTAAAAACAACATAATCATGAGCACAGAAGGGTGTTCTGATGTTCTCCGCTGGAAATAATGGAGGCCAAAACTTTTTTTCCCCCTCAGAATATAAAGGATAAATATAATACACATTTAGTCTTAAATATGAGACTAATTTTATAATATAATTTATATTATAAAATAGGTCTTATTTTTAAGATCAGAGAAATAATTTTGGGATGATCAAAATAGTAAATAAATGAATTAGGCTTTTTGTCGATGTGATAAAGAATTTCGGATGTGTCAATGGGCTTGAATTTGATTTTTTCCCCCTAGTAAAGCAGAACGATGTCGTTTCGGTTTTTTTTTTTCAAATAAAAGATTTTGATAACTTTATTTTATTGATTATGTGTGACCGACGTATGAATACATAGATCAATATTATTTCATTTGAATGTTACTCTTTCCCATTGTTATGCATGAATAGTTGCATATATTTTAATTAAAATAAATTATTTTAATTATAATTGGGCCAATGATTATTCAACCTTGTCGATTGGACTATTGACCATTGAATTATTGTCCCAATTAATTCAATAACCAGCCTGGTTCTTAGTAATGTGGGTATTTTCGGAGATTCAGAGGTGAAAAGGTATATTTTCCTAACTAAATTTCTTTTGTACACAAATAACCAGAACTTCAACCCTCAACAATTTGTTTAAGCAACAGGTGGGATCATTAGAGTATTTAATTAATAAAAAAATTAATTAACTACATATTATTCTAAGTATACATTATTTAGTGCCTTTGTCTTTTGGGTTGGTGTCCACTTTTGCTCCTTTTAATTTATTTGTTTTGTTGTTTGATTGGTGAATCTTTTTAAATGACCAACTTGCATAGGAAAGTCCACCTGATACGCTTAATTTTTAAAAATATCTTCAATATTTAACTCTTCTTATCAGTCTCTCTTTAATACTACTTGGACCTTCTTTTATGTCACTTTTCTCTTTTTAGCTGTACTTGCCCCTCTTTTTTTTTTATATTACTTGGCCACTTTTTAATATAAAATTTAATTATTGAGTTAATTTTAATCCTAAATATAAGACTTATTTTTTATATTTATCAATTATTCTTAAATTATTCCTAGAGATACTCCATCAGCCATAATCAAGTAGAAGGGTGAGAAAAGATATTAAAAAAGATGATTATGGTGTTTTAGTAAAAACATGTCATATTTTTTATAATTAACTAACTTACCTAATAACTTTTTTAATCTAATTAAATTAGTTCAATATGTTTTATATTAAGGATCGGAGGAATATTATTCAACAGGGTCATATGTTCATCACCAACATACCAATAATCAATTTAATATATATTTTTATAGGGTCAATTTTTAAATTTTTTTTTCCAAATTATTTTCGCTAGGCTAAAACTTGTCCAATTTTTTTAAAAAAAATCGTTCTGATTCTGAGTCTAATTTCAAGTTTTAGCTCAATAGAAGCTTAATCTCAATTCAACCCAATTTAATCATGAAAATGGTTTTCTGATCTAAACCAAACCGCTAACAAATTTGATCAAAGTTGAAATTGATCGGACCATCCAATTTGATCCCCTTGTTTGATCAATGGCCTGAACCATGCTTCTAATACGTCCTTATGCATTTGTTTCCTCTCCAAGTGTGAATTAACGTCCAATTAGTTTTGGTTAACCGTAAAGAAAAGAAAAATTAAGTGGTTACAACTTATTACTTTTCCGGTCCTTAACATAAGACCCATTTAACTAATTTGATTTGATTAAGGAAGTTAGGTAAGCTAGTTAATTATAAGAAATGTGACATATTTTTCCTAAAACACCATAATCATCTTTCTTAATACCTCTTCTCCCCTCTTTTACTTGACTATGATTGAGAGAGTATCTATAGGGGTAATTTAGAGAAAACTGATAAATATGAGAAATGAGTCTTATATTTAGGACCAAAACCAACTCAATAATTAGGTTCTATATTAAGGACTGGAAAAGTAACATATTTCTTTGTGAAAAAACGGAAGATTCCAAATTTAGATTCTACATATCTTGGACACTTTAACCTAACTAAAGTCAGGTGATTCATCTGCTGTAACATTCCCACATTAATTAGTTATAAAAAAAATTGAAACTTTTTTTTTTAAATAGAGAGACTTACAATTGTAAGCAAAAACTTTGAAACCATATTTAAAAAAAAAAAACTAATACCAAGGTATGAATTAACGAATTATACATATAGATTGTATGTCTTTTAAAAAAAGGTAGAGGATAGTTTCACCAAAATTTGTGCAGCTATCTATCTCAACGTTCTCTATTTTTTTTCTACTTTATGAAGTTAATGACTTTATAATTTAATGACATATAAATTTTTCTCATAAGTTAAAAATCATGGGTCAATCCTGTTTCGAATCTCATACAGTTATTGTCTATTTTTTAAATTTAAAAAAAAAAGACTTTGTAACAACTTAAATTTAATATAACACATTTTACTTTGTTTAATTTCTATTCAGATAAGCTTATTTTTCTAAGTTTTAAAATTCAAAATATTTTTATTTCAGATCTTACTTTTCAATAGTAAAATTTACTAAAAATAGAAACAATTCAAATGCTGAAATTTAAGGAAAATCTATAAAGTGTGATTTTGACTAGAAATACCGGGAAAACGGCTTGATATTTTGGAAGGACAAGCCGACTCGTGCCAGCTAAAAAAGTGACATGCTAGTAAAAAGTAAAAAGTTAAAAGCAAAAAAGCTGAGAACAAAATTAATTAATTTTAAAAGATTTCAAATATAGAGCATACTCAAGCGCGAGTAGTATTTTTCTCATAGAAGAATTAATTATATGATCGTTTTTAAATTTCGATCTAATCACACTCATATCACTATTTTCTAAATATATATCAAATCTAATCTAAATATTCCTTAAGATAAGCCATGAAATTTATGGTATGTCTCATAATTTACAAGTTATAAATATTAGGATTCATTATTTCAGTTAAACGGCACATATTAATAATTTTTTTAAGAAAATAGGTTTTTATTTATTTTTATAGTTTTTTAAGATAAAAAATTAATATTAGTAACAATTTTTAGAAAAGGTATATTTAATAGTGAAACTAATTCAAGTAGCAAGGGTAGGGGTGGAGTATAGGCATAAATGTAAGTTGAAATTCCTTGATATAAAAAATGTAATTTTAACTTAATTTTTTAAAATTTTACAATTTGGGGAAAAAAACAAAACTATGTAATTTTAATATTAATATCATATTATGATGTTTTTAAATTGGAGACCTAAGAAAAGGAACAATTCCGGAACTCAGCGATGAATTCACCATGAGCTGGGAGAGGGGAGAGGACTTGCACCGCCATAAGCAGAAAAGGACAAGGTCAATTTGGGGATATCGAAAGGCAAAATGAAAACCACTCGCTTTAAACAAAATTCAAGTGGAAGCCAAGCCAACTGGTCCCCGTGGCACAGGAAAATCGCTATATAAACCAGACGCTCCACTCGCAGATCCTCTGTCCCGTGACACTCTGTGGGTTGCTCCTTCATTTTCGCCCTCTTTTCCCTCGTCAACCCACTCAGCCATGGAACCAGGCGCTCCTCCGCCGCCTATGCCGCCGCCACTCCCGTCACCCCTCCGGCATCACCCTCTCCCTCATCCTCTGCCGTCACCATCCTCGGAAAGTACCAGTTGATCCGTCTCCTAGGCCGCGGCAGCTTCGCCAAGGTTTACCAGGCTCGATCCTTAATCGACGGCTCCATCGTCGCCGTGAAAATCATTGACAAGTCGAAAACTAATGCCTCCATGGAGCCTCGGATTGTTCGTGAGGTCGATGCAATGCGACGGCTTCACGACCACCCTCATATTCTTAAAATCCAAGAGGTTTTGGCTACGAAGACGAAGATCTACCTGATTGTGGAGTTCGCTGCCGGCGGGGAGTTATTCTCCAAGATCTCGCGTAAAGGCCGGATGACGGAGGCGGTGGCTCGGCGGTACTTCCAGCAATTGGTTTCCGCCCTATGTTTCTGCCACAAAAACGGCGTCGCACACCGTGATCTGAAGCCTCAGAATCTTCTCTTGGACCACGAGGGGAATCTGAAGGTCTCCGATTTCGGACTCTCCGCCTTACCTGAACAGCTTAAAAACGGGTTGCTCCACACGGCTTGTGGCACGCCGGCTTATACCGCGCCGGAGATCCTCCGCCGGCGCGAATACGAAGGCTCGAAAGCCGACGCGTGGTCGTGCGGGCTTATACTCTACGTACTGCTCGCCGGCTACCTCCCGTTCTCCGACGCCAACATCCCTGAGATGTGCAAGAAGATCAGCCGGCGAGATTACCAGTTCCCGGAGTGGATGTCCAAGCCGGCGCGTTTCGTGATTAACCGACTACTCGATCCGAACCCGAAGAATCGGATGAGTCTAGAATCTCTCTATCAAAACTCTTGGTTCAAGAAATCGCTCAGGCCCCAACCCGACGAGAGCTTATTCGAGTCGGGTCCCACCGCGAAATCGTATCAAAAGCTCGAGAGGATGGGTTCGGGCGTGAACGCCTTCGACATAATCTCCATGTCATCAGGTCTGGACCTGACGGGGTTGTTCGAAACGACGTCGGACAACAGGAGAGAAAAGAGATTCACATCGAATGCTTCAATGAAAGCAGTGGAAGAGAAAGTGAAGGAAGTGGGAGGAATTTTAGGGTTCAAAGTCGAGATTAGTAAGAACGGAGCTATTGGCTTAGGGAAAGGAAAGGTGGTTCTTGTTGTGGAGGTGTTTGAGATAGTTCGTGAGCTGTTGATGGTGACAGTGAAAGTGATGAATGGTGGGTTTGAGTTTGATGAGGTCCACTGGGGAGACTGGAAATCTGGGCTTCAGGATGTTGTCCTTTCATGGCACAATGAATCGCTGTGAATATTACATATATATATGCTACTTGGCTAGATAATTAAGCTTCAACTTCTCAGTCTGATGAAGGAAGGAAGCTAGGATCTGATGCGAGCCTGTGAATTTTCTTCTCAAATGAAGGATCTTCTGCAACAACAAAGGCTTAAAAGAAGATGAAGGAAGAAGGGAAAAAAATCCAGATGATGAAGAAATTGGAATTGCAGGCTGATGGCGATGAAGAAGAAGGTTGTTTCGAGATAGAGACGTGTTTTTCATTTGATTTTGTTTTAGGCATTATATAATCTTTTTCCGTAGAAACAAATAACTAATCTTAAAAAAGTATGAAAATAGGAGTATTAATTGTGCTGGGGTTTTAAGTTCAGATCTTTTGGTTTTGAATGATTTTATTGGTTGTGTTTGTACATGAGAATGACAGTGCAGAAATTTCAGTGCTTCTTCCATATTAGTGCTTGATTTTATGATCTTCGTTAGGTTCATTGCTCTGTTACCTACGTCACCCTTCAATCATTCACGCGGTAGAGGAAGAGAAATGGAAATAGACCCTAAATTCTGTTTCCATTCATCAATTATCAAATGAAATTAAAGTGGTAACAGAGTTCAGCAAAATATACCAACAGTGTCTGTTTGCATTGACTTTCTAGTGGTGAAATAACAAGATTATAATTCTATCTTTAATTCTAATTATAAAATCTTATTTATACTATAACTGATGTTTTATAATTACGACGGAAGTGGTTTCACGTTTCAACTGTAACATACTCAATAATACAGCAGCAAAGGTTGGGGTCCACTTGGCTCCACTGATTCTTTGAATTTTATTTAAAGTTCGCGTTGAGTGGAAGATATATTTAAACAAAAGAAAGTAAACTTCAAATGCCGAGTTCTTCTCCCATTATTTTCGAAAATAATTAGATGACATTAGAACCAGAGTGCATGAATGAATATATCCCCTAGTCCAAAACTCAAAAGGCATTTACAATAATACTTATTAGGGGTGTTTGCCAATGAAGAGAAGTACTTTTTAAAAGCACTTTTTCACAAATTGAGATAAACTCCTCTATATATTTACCTCGTATACTATAAAATCACTTCTGAAATCATAATTTGGTTTCCATCCAAACACCCCTTAATATAATTTATTTATCAACAACGTCTTTGGGAAGTATTAGCTGTACGGTGTATATTTGTTTTTAATATTCATTAAATGTAATGATTAAGTTCTCTTGAGACATTGCCAACTGAGAGGTTAATGGATGTGGAGATTTTTTGTGCTTTTGGGCCAGAATTGGTCAAAGGCCAATTGGCCAGCTCGTGAACGAATAATGGAGAAGTCCACCTGGAGGGTGGTCGTAAGCTTAATTGATGTCACTGTGTGGAGAGTCATTGTTTTGATGCTTACTTTGATTTGATGACTGAGTCGGCATGGGTTGGGAACAGCCAAATTCCACTTTAATTCCTGTTAAAACCACGTTTTCTTTTAAACATAATATGTGCATATACAATATTATCAAAACAAAACGGCTCAATAGAAGCATTCGCACTTGGGCCGAAAGTGTCAACCTCAAGGTAATTTAAGTGTACAAGTTGAGTTTATTATTGATTGGACTTTCTTGTTAAAAAAAAAAGTATGTAAATTGATTTGGTATAGTATTGAGTCAAAGTCAAATTAGGCTTCGCCTCAATTGACCGCTCCTGAGGATCCAAGAGAGAACCAATGGAATCATAGGAGTATATTCTGGGGATATGCCCTCCCAATTATGTACTTAAGGTGCTCTTCTTATGGATTAATGGCAAGAGATAATTCTTACTCTCTATGTGTGGTTAATATAACAACTATTTAATTAATTTGATTTAGTTAAAAAATTAAATAAACTACTTAATATTAATACTAATAAATGTGACATGATTACCTTCAAATATTTCTGTGTACCATTATACTACTCCTGATGTTTAGTATTATATCTTATTGATTAATTTAAAGATATTAATAAAACTGAATAAATTCATTTTAAGGTATTTATGTTCATTGTTTTTCACTTTTTTTCTAAACTAATTTGCCTAATTTATAAATTGATATATAATCTAATGATATTCACAAGTATCTTAGAGAAATCATGTAACAAATGCTATAATCAACCAATTTATTTAGATTACTTAATCTCTCCAAATTAGTTAATTAGGTCATATGTTAGAGATCAAAAGCCATATTATATATCAGTTTATAAGTTAATTATTTTGAAAAAAAATATGATAACTATGAAAGATAGAGGTACGCAAAAAAAAAAAAAAAGGAAGATAAAGTGCATTAAGTTCCCACGTTTAGGATGAAAACTAACTTATTAACCAGTTTCTACATTTATGAACTTAGGAGTATATGATTTGATGTTATTTTTAAAAAACAAAAAAGTTATAACGGATACATAAACTGATATTCCATCCAACTTATGGGTTAGCATAAGTTAAATGAGTAGAATCTGTTTGAGTTTACATGGAAATTTTTTTTTTTTTTTTGCGGTAAAGTTTTAAATCAACTCACTAATTGTGGATTTAATGAACTAGCTCATAAGCTTCACATATTTTATAATTAGCTTGGATTTTTCACACGCTTGAAGGTGCTCAGGCTTAATATTTTTTATTATTGACAAATTATACATATGTATATATGATAGTAAATAGTAATGATTAATAAAGTTGGCAAAAAAAGACTAATAATGTGAAAGTAGCTTGTTCTTTAGATTTTCCAATTTACCTTGATCTCATTGAAAAACATCGTAATCTTTCAATGTCTTCGCAAAACGATGGAATGAGAAAGTAGTTAATATGATGACCACGAAAATACGAAAAGCAAAGCTCTGGAATAGTAAAACGCCTCTCGTTAAATAACAACCTCAAGACAAAACGATTCCCTTAACATAACATCAATCAAAAATATTCTTTGGATTAACTTGTTTGTGAAAATGGAACTCATTATGAGTATGCCAATAATCCAATGGCCTAATGGCATCAAGCTTTGTTTTACTTGTTCATGTTATGACCTTGTCCTGTTAAAGCTGTTCAACTTATCTTTTTGTACATAAGAAAAAAAAACTCATTATCGGGTATGAATGGCCACGGTTTCAGTTTGGCCTACTTTTAATTTCAAAAAACATCTTTCAGTTCTTTAATCTTACCCTCAGATCAAAGGTTCTTGAATCTTACGCAGTGTATGGATGGGGAATAGATGTTAGGAACGAAAGGATACTTTGAGGGAAACTCTAAAAAATAGTACTTCTTCGGACTCAAAATATAAGCATCAAATTTTTTAAAGGGATTTGTTTTCTTTTTAATATAAATATTACATCGGATTTGTTTGATTATTTAATAGATTTTTTTTCCATTTTAGCCCCTGATTAATTATAGGGAGAATCTGAAAAAAATTTGACTGAAATACTTAAATCCAAATTAAGGCTTACACTTTTAACAAATTCCTAATGAGGCCATAAGACCTAATTTAGGATTTTTGAATGTTGTCAAATACTAAAATGCCTCCTTTTAATTAAAAATAAAAATTAATTATTTTCCCATCCAAGTAATCTCTTATCTCTTATGATTATTTTATAGGAGTAAAAAACACAATTGTTTTTATAGTGTTTAAAATTTGTGTGTATCACTAAAAGCTTCAAAAATATTCTAATAAAATATTTTAAATTACAATATAAATAACCTGGAAATAAAGTTTTTTTTATTTTTGTTGATAAATATTTATGAGAAAATTGGTAAAAAAATCTCTATTTGAAATTTGAATTGATAAGAAGGACCTGAAATTGTGCAAGCGCAAGTATGATCTGTGAGTGTAACATATCATCTGCTGTGTACAATTGCACTCAGCGGATGATATGTTGCACTCGCGGATCATACTTGCACTTGCACAAATCAGGTCCTTCTCACTAATTAAAATTTCAAGCTCAAAGTTTTTACTAATTTTCCCTATATTTATTTTAAGATTTTAAAATATCTTAATTACAAGAAATATTTAAAATTTTGTTCTCATAATTTCGTTAGTTTTATTTACATAAGTGATTCCAACCGAAAAAGGTTATTTATAATAACTTAGTATTAAATATTTCTCGTAATTAAGATATTTTAAATATTTATTATATTTACCAATAGAAAATAAAAAATATTTATTTCAACGCTATTTATGTTGTAATTTAAAATGTTTTATTAGAATACTTTTGAAGGTTTTGTTTATATATACAAATTCTAAATACTGTAAAATTAGGTATATGTTTTTTAGTCTAAAAAAATAATCATAAGAGATGAGGGACAATTTGAAAGGGTAAAATAATCAATTTTTTTTATTAATGAGGGGCACTATAGTTATTTAACAACATTCAGAAATTTCTAATGAGGACTCATAGCCTAATTAGGAAATTATTAAAAGTATAAGCCTTTATTTGAATTTAAGTATTTTAGCCAGATTTTATTGGAATTGTCCCTTAATTATATGTCTCTTTCATCTCTTCTTTTTTTTAACTCTCTCATCTTTTTCCCCACTTGTTCTCTCTCCTATTTAGCCTTTTCATAAATAAGAGTGTTTTAGAAAAATAAGTTACATTATTTTACATATTTATTATTTTTAACCAATTTTAACTAAATTTTTTTAATTATATGAATTAGTTATTTGAAAGTTATATTTTAAACTGAAAGGAGTAATTTTTTTTTTGTTTTTACTATTTTTGAAGTTTTTCTCCGTAGTATTTCTTTGTTTTCCATACTTTTTCCTCCATCCAAACATAGCTTTCATACTGTTGGCTTCAAATGATAATTTGTTTAACAATTATTTTTATTTCATGTTAGGTTTGGAAAATGTTTCGTTAGCATGTAAAATTTTAACATTAATTTTGTTCAAATAATATTTTTATTACAAGTCATTAGCCTTTTTTTTAATGTTCTAACAAATAATATTCTATAATATTTTTAGAAAAACAGGGTGTCTCTGATTATGGCTTATGCAGAGAGAATGTAGGGAAAATACGATAGAAGATTTGAGCTCTAAGTATCCTTTTTCTGATAATAAAATACCAATTACACATCAATTATTATACAAGAGTTTCAAATCTTTAATCTCAATCACCACTTGGTTAGTTTATTATGAAATCGGTTGGCATTAAACTGGTGGTTTTAATAACACCGATAATGACAACACAACTATACGTTGTTGGTTTTGCCCATTATTTAAGTAATATGATAATCTCAGGCAAAAAAAACGTAATATGATAATCTAATTTTTTTTGAAAAGTAATTGATTAATTTGTGATAAATATTTTTTATCACGTTAGTTTCATTTTGAACGAGACATCTATATGTGGGTGTGAGAGAGCGTATTAATTACCAATATATCTATAAAAATTATAAGAAACAAAATATGGATGTTATAGTTAGGGGTGGAAGCAGACTA